TCCCTTTATGCAGCGTCTGTAGCTTCCTTATAGCCGTACAACAGTATTGCACAACACCTCAGGCAGACAGTCACATGTTCAAAGCAAGCAGCAAAATCAGGGTTTCCTTTAAGCCAAAAGATTTCGATTCTAAGCGACAGCATTCTATTTTTAAGTATGTGACAAACATTCTGATTTTTAATTCATCTCCACTGCAATATTGTTTTTTGAAGAGTCTATTCTCTTTTCAAGTTGTTCACGGCCCCAGAAAAAAACATGAGAAATCACATCTGCTGAACGAGAAAAGCCGATTCTCCGTTTTGTTTCCTCCACGCATTTGGTAATAATTCAGAGCTATCTCAACTCCTCCGGCGGTTTCAACAGGTATTAGGCTGGGCCACTAAGGTGACAAGGTGGCCGCTGCCAGCAGCCAGTTCCTCAGCTCATCATCGGAACCAAGCACCGGCTGAACCACTCACCGGGGCATCATCTGCTCCCCTCACCCCACCCGCACACACACGCCTCCGTGGTAACATGAAAAGCTGACGCAAAAGTGGAACTGCGAGAAGAACACGAAACTGTTTTAAGCAACTTCGAAACAGAGAACTAAATTCGAGGCTAAGACAGGAGGGAAATTTCCTCAAAGGAGAACGCTATAATCATGTTTCCTCAACAACTTTCAGATTATATATTTAGCGTGTAATTTTATGCATACATCCTTCCACAGCCAGATTAAACTCTTCTGTGCTCAAACTCACTTTGTGTTCAAAATAATTTAAAAAAAAAAAAAACAAAATAGGGAAAAAAGCAACTGAACCAAGTAAACTCTTAATTTGCATAGTTAAAACTAAACATTAGTGTTTAATAATCAACTCCCAACAGCACTGAGCGTTTTGGGAAGTCGGACTGAAGGGTTACTCAAGTAACTTTCACCATACATTTTTGAAGGATGACTAATGAATCGTGAGCAGCAGTTTGGCCACAATCACAGAGAGTAACCTGAAGTCCCCTCCTGGAGGGGTACAGCATGTCTCGGTAAATTTAAGGACTAAAAAGCATAATCTCGTGAAGGAGCACATACATTCAGGGCAACTCTAGCAAAAATATCGTTTTCCCCCTTTCAGGTTCACCGAAGTCCATACTTTAGAGCCACCACCTCAGCACTATACTGTAACAGCAAAATCCTAGCGCTGAGCAGGTTATTAATAATTAACCTACTTGGTTACAGCCTGCTAATTTGTTGCACGAGTCTTCCAGCCCCGCCACCACCCCCGAAGAAAACCCGACGGGTACTACCGTGCCCGCGTCCTCCTCTCTGCCTCTCTCCTCCAGCCAAGGAGAGGATTGCAGCAGCACCCAGCACTGCAGCAACCCTACGTCTCAGGTTTTCTCTGGAAAAAAACTCACTGTTTCAGCATCAATTTCTCCTCCCCACGTCTGAGGGTTAAAAGGAAAAAAAAAAAAAGCCTCGATAAACACACGGTCATTTAACTCGGCTGAGCTGGCCTAAGTTTCATCCATGCCAACAGACTGCGCCTCTCTCTTCCTCTCACCGAGTTTGTTGCAACATGTGCCGGCTGCCGATGCTCCTGTGTGCTAGGGTAGAGATTTCGCGTCCCCGCGGTTTAACCCCACCCTTTCCACCGCCTGCCACCTCCCCCA